CAGAGGGTGTGGGAAAATCAGGTGAACCTGAAGGGACATGGGCGTGTGGCCGAGCGTATTCAACCAGAGTTTGTCTAAGAAATTCTGATGAAGAACCTGGGGAAAATCATGATGAGTTTTGGACAATATCATGCAGAACATATTTGGAGATATGGAGAACATCTAAGAACTGATGGGGGAAATATATGGGCCAATGCAGGTACATATGGGAAAGTGATGTTTCCACATGAATTTACCATCAAACATGCGGTTTCGCCAGTAGATGTGGATTTCATCACGAAAAAGAACAATTGTTGCATTGTGATGTTTCAGCCAGATCCATTGGTGAATTTCAATAAGTATCAACTTGTGTGTTCAAATGTCAGGGAGATCATGGAGACTAGGTCAATCTTAGATGGATACTTTAATCCTTTAGTCTTTTGGTATCAATGGGAATATCTACTAAGCAAATAATCTATTTTTTTGCAGGGTATCTAAGATTGGCAATGGAGATAGCAAGAGACATTATTAGAGATATGGAACAAAAACCTGGGGAAAACTAATTTGAGATATTGACCAACTTTATCTAAAAATGGCGGTATTATTTCATGTTCATCCATCAGTTTGGGATATACAGTAGTCAGGAAGAACAATAATATGTTTATGATGACAAGTCATGACCATTCCAAGGACCAAGGAAGGGGATATCCAACCAGGTGCTTTCTCCTACACACATAAGAAGCTCACTTTGATTCCCTTCGGAGTCCCTGCTTTTGGTTCTCAGCAATATGAACAGGACTGCTACTCCCTATATACATTGTAAATATATATATATAGCTGTAAATCGATTTGTGGTCCTTGTTACCGACCCTATGAGCCATTCCCCTTTCATTCGGGTTCAGAACCACAATATGCGGATATATGCGGGAAGAACATAATGATGAAACTGGCTGGATCAAATTGTGAGACCGTGATGAGGTGGGCCACATGGAAAATGCAATGCTCCTATGTTGAAGATCCCTTTCGGTCATCCCAAGGCGTTTTGAATCATGAAACATCCACCATTTGGAGAATACAACATAATACGAGAGTAGCAACCCAGAAGGGCAAGGTGAAGAAAACCCTGAGAAAGATGAACACAAAGAGAAACCATCAATTTGATAGAACAACTATGAACAACTACTGTGTTTTTCCCGTCTTTTTCAGCACGTAGACCCAAGACTACGTCATCCTCGTACGTGTTTTTTGTGACCTGCAAGGTGTGCGGAAGAGGAGTGATCTCACACAGGACTTCAAGTGGGGGGGGTCTGGGTAAATCCTGTTGTATTTGGACCAGTAGGTTCATGTTCAGGATGTCTTGCCATCGCCCGCAAAAGTTTTCTGCGTCCGACTGAGCAGAAACATATCGAACACATTGGAACCACAGTTGCCGACTGAATTTTGGATGTAGTAAATGACACTCAGTCACCTCAGTTTCCTGAAAATCCCAAGTTCGCCCAAGTTCGCCCAAGTTCGCAAAAGCATGCAACATCCATATCATTTTGTCGTCGGTGACCCTTTTCATCCCGAATTGCACATATTTATCACAGACTTGGATAAAGAGAACATCTACAAGAAAATCCTTTTTTGGGGGGGTCAAGACCATCCGGATTCCTGCATTGTTTAATGGTTGAATCAGCCAAAATTGATGAACATTGCCTTGATTTCACATCATTTTGTATGCTTGAGCCAGCACAATTCCTAAAGTTGCATCAATCTTCTGGATCTTTATCACCCAAGAATCTCTTTGGATGGGTAGTCTAATCCTTTAATATTTTGCTATAGAAATACTATGGTCAGCTGACATTTTTTTTTGCAGGGTATCTAAGATTGGCATTGTCGAACCTCCAAAGTTGGATCTTCAAGCCCTCCAGGAGATCATCCCGGTGCTAAAGAAACAGGGGCCACGTCTGACGTCCCGTCCAGGAGCGGCTGCAGTGGCTGCGTCGCAGCGAGAGGCAGCGCCAGGCCGCAGTGGCTGCGGTGAAGCTGCGCCAGATCCTGGTGGCTTCGGAGGAGATGGCCGTGGAGGTGGAACGGTGGCTGATGGCCTGGTTTGGTGAGATGGGGAGATGGTTGACATTTTTGGGATCTAATGGATTACCATGATAGGATATAAATGGATATATTAGAATATATTAGAATCATCTAATGGATATATATATGGATATATATATATATGGATAGATGATCTAATGGATTCGATTATATATTCGATCATGGTATTTGGAGGGATGGGAGTACATGGCTGTGTCTTGAGCATTGAGGGGAGCCGGGGAGCCCGAAATCCATTGGTTCATGGCCATTTTTCCCTATGAAAATGGCATCAAATGACCATCCGAAGCCTGGGGAGATGGGTCTCCAGGTGCAGCGGCAGCTGGTGGCGCAGCCAGAGACCTGGCCGAAGCTGAGCGAACTGAGCCTGGAGGAAGCCGAGCTAGGCACGGAGACGCCCGGGGCGTCCCTGGGAGAACGGGGAGGAGATCAACCCTCGGCCCATGTCACTCAGCATATAGCAACACGCATAGAAAAGTCGACAAACTGGAAGTATGTGGTAAATATGGTCTAGACCACTCGAAACCATCCTGGAAACACTGTTCAGCATGTCTTTTTGGGGTCATAGATGGTGTTTCAGCAAACAACTATTTCGAAGCTTTGGATATTATGGGGATGTAATGGGATATGATTGTATAGTCAGCAATAGGATTCTACTATAATAAACAACCCTATATATTCCCATATATATATATAGAAACCCTGGTTTAGTATGGGTTTTGTTCATTTTATTGTCCCTAATGTGAAGGACGGGATTATGTACCATGCTCAGAAGATGCCCCGCTGCTTCGCACCATGAGGGTTTACAGACGGAATCGTCTCAAAGATGGCCAACTACAAGGGCTTGTGACTTAAGAGTTTGTTGTTTTTTGCCAATATTCTTACAGTTACTGGTTATTATTATTTTATTGTTGTCATTATTATTGTCATTATCATTATTCATACTAGTGACAACAATGTATAACAAAAGAATAAGTCATTACTAGTAAACAATGGTGTTTTTTGTTTTCCGATCTTTTCATATGGAAACATCGTTATTTTCATTTTGAAGGTATGCGCCGCTTCGCGGATCCGGCTGGAGCTGATATGTTATGCGAGAGATCAGCAAAACAAACTGAACATGAAGAGAACTTAGCGGTTCAACATCTATCTGGAGAAATTATGATGGTCAACAATGGACATCATCCAAAAACAAGGCCGAACTCTTCAGATTAGTGAATTATTATAGTTTATCCAGATCTGTAAGACATAAGTGTAGGTGTGAGGGTTTGAAATACGCACAGATGGTGGATTGGTGCTCCTTTCTGATTTCCAGGATGCGACCATTGGGTCTACCATTGGGCTCCCAGACTCCAGACAAGCAGACTCCCGAGTTAAAAGCTCGTTTCTAAATCATTGTAACATGGTATCAACCCGCCCATCTGACTATGTAATCTATGTATTTGTCCACGAATTAAAGCCCAGTTAACCATAGTTAATCTGGGTTATAAACTAACTTAGATACATTCTTTGGGAGCCGCTTCCCGTAGATTTGCGAGGGGTTCGGAGCTAGAGGTATCCCTTATTCCCAGCAAGAAAATCTGAACTCCGAACTATGAATAGAGTTTCCCAGCCGCATGAGAGTGTTTGCATTTTTGGCCACAGAAGCGTAGGTCCCCCACAGGTTTGCTGCATGGCTTAGCCATAATTACCCATTCCCTGCCGCTGAACTGGCCCGGAAATTGTCAGATACAGGGCTCTTTTTCTTGCAGAGCTTTGGGCAATGATTTGACAAGTAAATTGTGTTGGACACTAATTATTCAAATATATTCAATTTCACTTTGTCTTTTGTTGTTGTTGTTGTTGTTGCTGCTGCTGTCCTCGTTGTTGTTGTCGTTGTCGTTGTCGTTGTTGTCGTCGTCATCGTCATCGTCGTCGTCGTGGTTGTTGTTGTCGTTGTCGTTGTCGTTGTCGTTGTTGTTGTTGTTGTCGTTATCGTTATCGTTATCGTTGTTGTTGTCGTTGCCGTTGCTGTTGTCGTTGTCGCTGTCGTTGTCCGTTGTCGTTGTCGTTGTCGTTGTCGTTGTTGTTGTTGTTGTTGTTGTTGTTGTTGTTGTTGTTGTTGTTGTTGTCGTCGTTGTCGTTGTAGTTGTTGTTGTAGTAGTTGTTGTTTTTGTGGTTGTTGTTGTTGTTGTCGTCATTGTCGTTGTCGTTGTCGTTGTCGTTGTCGTTGTCGTCGTCGTCGTCGTCGTTGTTGTTGTTGTTGGTTGTTGTTGTCGTTGTCGTTGTCGTTGTTGTTGTTGTTGTTGTTGTTGTCGTCGTCGTTGTTGTTGTTGTTGTTTTTGTTTTTGTTTTTGTTGTTGTTGTTGTTGGTTGGACTTCCAAATAATAAAAACAATGACATCAATGTGTGTGTGTTGGGATATTGTAATTATGCCCATTTTATTCATATGTACAGTAAATAAAATCCCATAATTAGATGCAATTATAAATATGCACCTTATACGTACATACATGCGTGCACGCATGCATGCATACACAGGTACATACATCATGTTCCTTTGTTGTTTGGTGATACACCGCGACATTTTAGTTTCTGAACACGTCCATTCACCCTTGATGCATCAGGTTGGGTCGGGTTTCTCGTCAGAATTTGGACGTGTTCGCCGAAGGTTGAGGAGTTGGATGTCCATGCCGGAACACTGGGTAAATCTTGGCAAATAGTAGGTTGTAATATGTTGTTTTTGTTGCCTACTTAACCGGGGAACATTTATATATAGTTATTCAATCAATGTTATGTATAAATATATATATATATACATATAATATGTATATACATATACATATACATATACATATACATATTATACTGAAGTCTTCTGCTGAACATCATGATTTGTTTGCAAAGTGTCTACCGAAAATTAAGCGAAGAAACCCTTCATGGCCTATCGAATCGATGGATGTTTTTGTTTTCAATGTTTTTTCGGCGTATCAGTGAATCACTTCAAATTTGGACGTTGAGGTATCATGATTCAATTCCAAATTGTTTCAAGTATATCTATGTGGGTATGGCTCAAAACAGTTGACCACCCAAAGTTCAAAATGGGATGTTTCAAATTCTACCAGGACTCTTTGCCTTGAGCCATATCCAGGTCTACATAATATGATTATGGAGATTTCCATACATGGGGGTACCCCAAAATGATTGCTTTATAATGGACAATCCATCTATAAATGGATGATTTAGGGGTACCCCCATTTCAATATATGGATTGTCCATTATAAATCATTATAAACCAATCATCCATCTATAATGGACAATCCATCTATAAATGTTTCCCCATTTCAGGAACCCCCCACATATACATGGATTGCTTCAAATTCCTGTCCCTCCCAAAGCCTGGTGGGAACAGCAGTGGGAACAGTTCCAAAGGGGAGAGCCGGAGAGCCATGGAGTGCCAGGTTTTTGCATTGCTTGAGTTGCGTTGAAAAATCATGTTATGCCAAGTTTAAATATTATCAATGTTTTGCTAAGATGTTCGATATTATCAAAATATATTTACTACAACTTTAAATTTAGACCTCTGCTTTTTGTTTCGACGATGCAATGAAGTCTATGCCACTCAACTCGGAGTTTTTTTGGACAAACCTGGTCAGCAGACAGGGCTGAGTCACCATGTCCAGACGGAAAGACCTTTGTGGAGGGTGGCCTGGGTGGCCTGACGAACCCGTGTATTAAGATGTATCAAATCCCAAGGGTACAGGGGTAGCAACAGAGTGAAAAAAATCTGCCGACTCGCTTTGCCACCATTTTGGTTTGGCTTTATATTTGTTTTCGAATAAGTGATATATTCACTTTTTTGATTCGAGAACTCTTCCTAGACTCTTAATGTTTGATGGTTAAATCGAATCAGTGTTGCGTAAATCCTGCCTCTGTGCTGGTCAAATTCTCCTTTTGTCTGTCTGAAATCCCCCAGACTTTGGCGAAAATCCACAGGTTTCGTCAGAGATCTGTTGCAGGTGAAATCGGCATTTCTGGATGAAATGTTTAGCGTTTTTGTTTGGATTTGATGGATTTACCACATGGGGATCTTGAAATTGGGGATCAATGGTCACCATGGGATACCATGGGTTAACCACCAAGTGGTGAAAAATGGTCTAATGAAGAAAATGAATTGGATGATTTGGGACCACAAAACGGAAACCTCCAGCCATGGCCAGCCCCAAAGTTCAGGTTACACGACAGCTACTTGGACGAGCTGCTGCCTCTGTTTGTACGCCATGCAGCGCTGCGGGCGCAGCCTGGGGACATGTTGAAGCTACAAAGTGAGCGAGGCATGGACGATGACGAGGGAGATGGTTGATGGGTTTCCTTGCTATTGGCCATTTTATTCCCCAATGCAGTAGGTATAGTATAAGTATGTATAAGTCCGTATGTTAACCCATAACCAGGGTATTTTTAATGGCTCACTTGCGGGTGCATGTGGGGTTACGAATGGGTATAGCTATGTTCAAAACCTCTAAGTTGGGATATAACCCCTACAACTATGGTTATTTAATGTTATTTAAGCCACTTACTATATAGTGGAACTTCACCCCCAAGTCTCCCCTACAACCCACCCAAATTGGATATCAGGGGATGCAGCCATGGTATGCCGTGGGGATATGAGGGTAATTATAATGGGGATACGAAGGTATGATGAGATATACCCTCTGGTAATTTAACATAGCTATTGAACAATGGCCATTTATTTATAGTTGATTTTGTCCATAAAAAATTGTGATGTTCCATTGTTATGTTAGTTTACCAGAGGGTAATTATGATGAAATATTCTACTGTATGGGGATACAAGGGGTTATGCTATGTACTTGGATGTGCATCCCAGGAGTAAGTGGTGAACATAACCCATAGAAGGTGAGGCCCAGTTTAGGATAGCTAAGTTGACGCACATCATTTCTTTAATGTTTGGGTTAATGGCGGATCTAACTATTGGATTTATGGGTTTGAGTCAAGCAACTTATGGGTGGCCTCACCTGAAATAAGCCATTAATCCTCACTAATCTAACTAAGCTATGTCATATGATCTCAATTGATCCTACCCACAACAGCACCGGCCCGGGACCCAGAAACTGGTGAAGTTACCAGTGATTTTATCTTAGAAAAGTTGGTTTATACATGCTCATAAGCCCCATTACATATATATCTTGGGTACAAATGTCAGCTGTTGTTTAAAACATATATATATATATATATACAATTATACATTGGATATCAGAATTCTTAATCATTGTGTACCTATATATATATATATATATACACGAAAAAAAAAAACAACAATGACGACGACAACAACAACATCAATAGTTATCCTTCCATGGCGGGTGAGCCCTGCATGACGTGATCAGGATGGCACGTCTTGCGCATCGAAGATGTGATGCTGGACTTGCGAGTGAAGAGGTTGGGACAGGATGGAGGCGCCGATTCCGATGAGACGCCTTCAGCCCGGGGGGTCAACCAACAAGTTATTATTTGGGATGGGGGCACCAACAGAAAACTAGGATTCCAGAAATTCTTTTTGCCAGGAAGCCCTATGTGGGATAATTTAATTGACTTACTACGCATCACTGGCGTTAAGTAATGACCCAATCCAAATGGATCCAGGATGTTTCAGGGGTTTTGAACATACGGAGTCATTGGAAATCATCTAACCAACTATTTGGCCCCAACCGAAACCATCCTGTTTCTTGGCCAACCACAAAAAGGCCCCCTTTGAAACCGCTGATGGGCTGGTCAGACCCCAAGGGAATGATCGGATAGGCCAATGGGCTAGTGGTCGATGTTTCCGCGGAAGTTTTGAAGGGGTCGTTGATATTTCCATGTTCTTCCAGTAGCGTCTATTGGGCGAATCGATCGAGAGGGGGCAAGAATGTGTTTTTATACTGAAGTCACCCATCAAAATATGTGGTAGGAAAAGATGATGGTTGTTTTTTTTTAATGTTTCAGGAGCAGATTGGGTGTGCCAATGTGAGGGTACCCCTCAGCTATTTTCATACATCTGTTGCAATTTCCGCAAAATTGTCGCCCAAAACAACATGGGCAGAGGAGGTCCTCCATTTATAGATGATTGTTCTATTAAATCTCACATTTTTAGGGGATTTTCCAGCTAGCCATGTTTGATTACCGGAGGCTATTTGTTTCCTTGTCAGCTGGCGCTTTTACCAAATCTCCCATTTGATGTTTCGCAAAGAGCTATTCACTACTGCTGGTTATATATTTTACAGTATTCATTTCCTCATGTTTTTTTTCCCACCTTCATTTCCCCAAATCTATAATTATATAATTATATATTTGTCCCCCAAGTTATTTCCCGAATTTGGCCACCCAGACAATTTTTTGCAAGTTACAGTAATCTTTCATCAGACTCATGTTCGCCAAATCCATTCTGTATCAACATGTTTTCCGCAGTTAATATGATTTCATCAGATTTATACAAGATTTATCATGATTTATATTCTTAACAAAACACATACGCAACCATTGACCACTGCTATTCATCAACTGCTGGTGAATTCCTTTCATTTTCCCAAGGAATTTCCCCCATAAAATGGCAACCTTGCGACCAGGCAGGGCCAAAGATGCCTTGCACTCCAAGACCTACACAGTGTGTTGGCGGGAAAGGAGGATGGAAATGCTGTGGCTAAATTCTATATATATATATATATGTTATTTAATCTGCAGAAATGGGGACCAACTGAAGCTGTAAACCTTCAATCATGTTGTTTGGTTTTAAGCTTGATATACAGCAGTACCACCTGCCAAACATGTCTTTAAAGCTTCAAAGACTATCAGAGATGTTGCTTTGAGCTTCGACATGGGGGGGTCGATATTGTCGGGGTTTCACCTTCAAGAATCATCAATTTTTAGCAGAAACAGGATCAAGAGGGTGTTGTTCAATGGTACTCTTCTGACAACTCGGACCTTAGAAAAAAAACAACAACTTATGTTAAAATTGGTTGGTACGTTCTCATTCTCTGCGTTGACGAAGCAACAGAAATAATTAGTCCGATGTGGTATATACCCGGTATCCTTAATATGATCCTTATACTATTATATGATAATTATATGTGTGTTTCATATATGGCTATGGATCAATACCTATACATACCATTTTTAGTGGGTTATTCACATCCATAAATCCCAGCTATTTTGATGTGAACAGAAGGGGGGTAGGGTTTTGACCCATCCCGAAGCCGAGGAGTTGATGTGTTTTCGGTCCATGGTTTGTTTCAACCACCTTTGTGGCCCCAAAAGCATTGGGTAAAAATCTGATGACCTTTGTGGCCCCCCACTTGAAAAAACACTTTGGGCAGGGCCAAAACCACCATTAGTGGTTGATTTGTGGGTGTAGACTTTGTAGATTATAGTTTCACCATCTTTTATATCGAATCATCTTCAAACTGGATTTACATCGTGTTATTTTTGATTGGGAATTGTAATCATCCCATCCATCATATTAGTTTCACCCCATCCACTGGTCCCAAATATGTGTGTCTATCCCATAGATCATGGAAATTGCTCAGGAATTATCCAGATTATCATGATTATCTATAGTAACCCCTCAAAAAGATGCAGAAATGCAATGGTTTTTACTAATCCAAATTGCCCCAAATAACCAGAAGACCCCCCAGAAACGCATGGTTTTTTGGGACAGGGATTTCCAGATCGAGGTGATCACCATGGGCTGTCAGATGAACCAAGCCGATTCGGAACGGATGGAAGGAGCCCCGGGGCCTGTTTTTTTTTTCGGTAAAATATATGGAGGTTTCCGAAAATTGGGCTGGTTGGTGGTTTGGAACATGAATTTTATTTTTCCATATATTGGGAATAGTAACCCCAACTGACTAATACTTTTCAGAGGGGTTGAAACCACTAACCAGCAAAAATTGGGGTACAGCGGAACCGTTAGATAAGAACGGATTTTCAGAATTTTCCAGCCTACCCTGGGGTTCTTAAGTGCTATAGGTGGAAAATATGGGAATTATGAACAAGGGCACCCTCAAGATCTTAACGAGTTAGTTCTTAAGGGGTTCATATGGTGAGGGTTTTGCCAATTCATTTTTGGCGTGGTATTAGGTTGCAAAGGAGGCGGGGGGAAGAAAAAAAACACATCAGGTCCCGAAAAGTTTTTTTTTGAAATTTAGGGGCCCGAAACAAGGCATCTTGTGAAATAACATGAAATAACCACATTCAAATGTCATGTTGCTGCCGGCACCATCCGCTCAAAAACTGAAATTGCCTCGCAGTTCAGGGATTGACGGTAGTCAAACACCATTGAGGTTTGGTAGGGGCCCATCATTGCCAGACGTGGTTTCAAAGAACATTTACAAGAATTTACCCCTTTATAATACCTCCAAAAAAATCCCTACAAAATCTAACACGTTAACGTTTGGCACAAAACATTTTTTGTGGGAGATGGTCGGGTATATTTGGGTATCTTGAATCATCTCCAAGCAGGTTTTTGATTTTGTAGAGGGACATTTTTTGGGATCATCTTAGAGGACACTAAAAGCCATGTCTTTGATTTTGTAGTGCTTTGGGCTTTATGTATATATAATTATATTCATATATACATAGATCTGGGTAACTTGTAACGACCTCACTGTTCTCCCTCACTGGAATGATGGTTAAGATTCGGGAAATCATCCCCAATATAGGCCTTATTATCCTTATTTCAGCTTAGTGAATTATTAAATTTTACCCACATGATAGATACACATTTTTCACATACAGATGTATTTAGATATATTGCCATTTTTTTCATTTATATATATATATATATACACATGGAAAATGGCTTGTCTCACACCTCCACTGACTCCAGGACAACTGGCGTCCCTCGGCATGCGACCGGTGCTCGAAGAGGAGGATCCAGATGTGGTGCTGCTCAACACGTGCTCCATTCGAGATAAGGCACGGTTCAAGCCGGGAGATCTTGGTGATTTATAGTGATATTTTGGGGAATTCTATTTTTTTTTGGGTGGATTTATATGTTTTCTTTGGAGGATTTATAGGTTTTTTGTTGGAGTGGGGACTTATAGGGTCTTTTGGGGGATTTATATATAGTTTTTTTTTGTGGATTTATGTTTTTTGGGGGGCATTTATAGGGTCTTATGGGGCTATATTGGGATTTATTTGCACAAATTACTACGAGAACCGCCGAGGCAACCAGGTAGACAAGTCAACATTAACGAGGTGAGTGATGAAGTGTACAACAAAGATTTAAGGTACCAGCGAGGGAATGTGATAAACATTAACATTTGTGGCCAGAGATTGAATATGGACAGCCCATTCAAGCCGATGTAAAAACAATTTTTCTGGCACGAGAGAAATTTGTTTTTTGATTCTGTCGCCTCAAAGACATTATAAGACATTCGATTCAAAGCACTTGCAAGATTATTTTCCGTCAGTTGAAGAAAACTCTTCCATGCCAAGACTTTTCCCCACCTGCCGAGGGTCTCTAGATTTTAACAAGGGTGCAACTCGTCACGCCTCACTCCCTCACGAATTCCGGGAGGATATGTCTGTATTAATATAGCAATTTTAAGGGGTGATTGACCAACAATCAACGGAAAAAAATGGGGATATGACTGGATAACTAGAATAGATGAGGCAAACCATCCAATCCAGAAAGGTTTTGAGAGTTGATCGGGTGAAAAAGTTCTTCGATGTGCCATGAAAAACCACAGTGTCTTGAAGCAGTTCCTCTAATAACTCACCCCACTTGCCCACTCAAAAATCAGTTGTTTTCTTCAAATAACTTATGTTGCTTATATCCCATTATTTCATTAGATATTTCATGATATCCCCATGATATCCCCATGACCCTTTGGTACTAAAACAACGCGTGCCGGAAAATCCACCATTTATAGATTTATAGATGATTTGCTCAGCTATAAACCTTCATTGGGTTTGGGGATTTACCCTTACCCGCCACGTTTGATGACCGGAGGCAATACTGAGATCTGAAATTCCCACTTTTTCTCAGCACTTTTGTTGGTCAAGTTGGTCTTGGTCAAGTCATGTCAAGTCTTTACTATGGTTATTCCCATTAGATGCCCGTTGATTGTGCATCATGGTTATTCCCATCTAATCCGCAATGGCGCCCCAAAAAGAGTGGGTTATCCGAATGACAACTGCTCGCACACAGCCGTTCTTCGTGGCGCCTTCGCGTTGGGAGTTCAGCCTCGACCTTGGGAGTTCACACATACGGTGGATGGTTGCGAAATCCTGCAGTTGGTAGATGGTTTTTCCCATGACAATCCCATTATTTACAGTGTTTCATAATGTTTCATAGGGACCTAATAGTTCCCAACTGGTGCAGGATTTCTTTCATCCACAGTAGCTTTGGTCATTTTGGAGGAGGCTCAGATCACACATGCACCTTGATCCTCCAAGTATCCCTCCGGTCTCCCCAATATGTTCCCATTGAATCCCAATAAATCACCATGTTTGTTGTTTATATTAGATCCCAAATGTTGGCTATATTTTCATTATATGCATCTATATAAGTCACCATGGTATAGTCCAGTTTGTTGGTTATATTCATCCATATATCCCCACCTATCCCCATTGTATTCCTCACTATAATGAATACCCTGTTGTTGGTTATATCCTGATATCATTATCAAAGTTGGATATGAATATTATTCATATGAAATGTAATCCCCATTGTTGGTTATATTTCCATATCAAAATGTGTATATATATATACGTATTATACTGTACATATATATACACATGCACATGTGTATATATATATATATACACATATTTATACACTGTATATATATATATATACATACACTGTATCAATATATATATATATATATGCATATATATATTCTCATATGTAGTTATACATATATAGTTATATATATATAGATGTATATATGTATATGTATATATGTATATGTATACGTATATATGTATATGTATGTATATATATATATATATACACATTGTAATGCATATCCAATTTCCCTCGGATTCTTCTCCCATGTTGCCCTGCCCTGTTGTGCCAGGCCGAAAAGAAGGTCTACGCCAGGCTGGACGCCCACCTGCAACGCAAGCGGAAGGGGCAGGACGTAACGCTGGTGGTCACTGGGTGCCGAGGCCACATGTTGGGTCCCATTCAGTGGGTTGAAGATTGAGAAATACAAGGATACCATCAACAACAACCATGAACATGTGCGTAGAATGAGGATATTTTCGGGATTTGTGTGGATTTTTTATCCAACGCATATGGGAATTTCTCCAACCAAACATAAAGGATTTAGCCAACAAATATGGGGAAACATCTTTAGAATTGGGATACTGGGCGTGACTGCAAACGGCATATACCCATGAAATATCAATGTTGATCAGGAAACGGGTGATAAACCATAGGACTATATAGTTGGATGAACACAAGAAAACGGAGGAGTAAATTTTTAAATGGGCTCGTAGTTACAGTAATTCTCAGTTGAAGCAATTTTTGGGTGGGTTACGGTTGGATGTTGTGAATATTGGTAAACATCAATGAAATGTCACAGCAAGGTTGTTAGCAATAAACATTGGATTTCTGCAACAATTGGTTTGTGGAATCAAGTAACTTTGTTCAAAGTTCTGTGCTTGGGATGATGCTAAACCCAGATGCACAAAAAGTGTCCATGTTCAAGACATGACCATTTGTTTTCTTGACCCATTGGGAATATATCATATCCTCAACTTAATAGAAACTATATAGCATTGATTCTAGGTTTTGAGTATTTCACATGAACCACGTGTTGCATCAAAAAAAAATGGTCGTGTGGGAAGACCATGGGAGACCCACCAGTTACCTCCCAGAGGCTGCATCAGGGCAAGGAGTGGAGAGCGATATTCGTATGATGTGTCCACACCTGGTTCCAAAGAATTCAAATAGGTTCTAAATGGTTTTGACCCATAATTCTGTTGGTTAAGTTGGAAGCTTTCAGGTACAGTATCACATACAGTAGCCATTTTTAGCCATCTTTTTTCAACCTGAGACGTCACGGCGATGCAGAACTGGACCGTTCTTCTTGTTGACCATGAGGAACAAGCAATAAATGAATATAAATGATACAAATTAATTATGATGATTGTGAACCATTTGTTCAAATTTCGACCAACAATACGTGATACAGATTATTGCTACCATATATTAAGATTGTAATCAAGGATATTGTAATGAGTAGCGTAACTTTTAATTTTGTATTGTCGTTCAATATTTATATTAATATGTGGTAGTGTCATTCAATATTTCTAGTAAAATCATATGGCAATATTGAATATATATATATATATATATCAAGGCTAGCCATCTCATCCAAGGTGCGTGGCCCAGCAGGAAGGGGAGGACTTGCTTCGAGCGGTACCTGAGGCCTCGGTGCCTCAGGGTGGTGCCGGTTGTGTCTGGATATCCTATATAAATCGCGTTATATGGATCTCATAGGATGTCATGGTGAGGATTTCATGGTGATGAACCAATTTTTGGTATCTTAGTTTCAGACAAACCCGACTGTCTGGATTTTTTGCATCTGAATCGAAATATGGAGGATCTAGCCAGCTTAAAAGAAAATGATTTAAACGCAGTGTGATTTGACAAAGGCATGAGGTTTTGAGCCACAAAAATGGAGGATTTACTGGGAAATTCACAGTTTGCTATGGAAACTCACCATGTTCAATTAAGATTTATCTTTAAATTCGAGGGGCCATCTACACCATGGCATTAAAAGAAATACCAGAGCGTTGATTGAAATATAGAGTTGTATGTAAATCATGGGAATAGAAAATAGTATCATCATAATTAGTCTGAACTTGTTTTAGTGACTATAGATATGGCAGTGCTTATTTCGGGAAGATAAAACCACCCGTGTTGTGGATATTTTTTGATGAATTGTGAAGAGCTCATTGTCATGTCAACAAAGAAATGATTGTTCGTAAAGACAACCACCCCCGAACTGGCCTTGTTCAGGCTGGTGATTTGTTCCAACTCCAGAATGTTTGGAGGTATGTAACCAACAATAACCAACAGTAACCATTGAATACAATGGAGATAGAATGAAGATTGATTGTATGCTGTTAAAATTTTCACCAAAAAGGCCATTCACCAACAACCATGGGGATGTAGTTGAATGCCAATCCAGGCAGTCCCTTTCCAAGAAATAACCGGAGTAGGATTGGAGATATCTTGTTTTGGCTTTGCTACTTCTGAATATTGGAAGCCATGGACGGGAGTACAGCCCCGCTAATATTCATCTCTTCCAGAGTCTCATCGATGAGCCAGTTGCACAATGTTGCAGCTTAATGTCAACCCTTGATTAATAAACCAGTGACTGTGTCTTTCAAATTACTGTCAACACATTTGTACCTGATAAACTGCGGATTAAAATAAATCCTGAATCAACCATAATCCTATTTATATACCACTATAACCCACTATCTTCCAATGTATTCCCTATATTTGCTGGTTGAATCCCTCATGTTGTTACCGATAACCACTGGCACCATCCAAGCCCCAACGCCAACGCACAGGTCGACGTGGTCATGGGGCCGCAGTTTGCCAATCGCCTCGCAGATGTGTTGAACGAGTCGGTCTTAGGTGCGCGTCTTGGGGCACCAGAAGTGAGGGAGTGTATGCCATTTTCACAAATGGTTACTTGCAGATCCCCATTGTATGTGTATATTATATATATATCCTTAATATCTGTTAGTTTGCTGCGATTCCTCATTTTGTTTGGTGAAATCATGTTAAATTAATATAACATCTCCATGTTCAAAGACCTTCGAAGGTCGGACCGTGACGTCGTAACCCTTCGTAACCCTTCACGGCGAAGACGCCAGGTGGGCAGATTTGTGCCACCGAAGACTCTCGAATCATGGAGGATGTGACCATGCCCAACCGGCCACTCGGATGCTGCGATACTTCAGTAGTTGGGTCATTATCAGTAGTGAAACTTTCAAGAATCTATGATGTGTGATTATTTACATAATAAATACCCTCTGGTGAACTAACATAGCAATTGAAAATGGCCATTTATAGTGGATTTACCCATTAAAAATGGTGATTTTCCATAGCTATGTTAGTTTACCAGAGGGTATGATGTGTGATTATTTACATCATAAATATACAAAAGTATCATGATGTGTGAATCATTGATATCATGATACTTGTGTATACTTATTATTGGTGTATATTTATGTGCGATTATATACACATTTATATATTATATAGAGGCGCACCCAAGAACTACCTCACATATACATATTGTAATACACTATATGTTACATGTTGATGAGTGGTGGGTGATCTCCAAAACGGTGGTCCAAAACGCTCCTCTAAGATGCTGCAATGCAACTCCCGCAGAAGTGAGATGTTGTTTTTCCTCAAGAGATTCAAATAATACTAACATGTAAATGTAAGAATAACTGGTTCCAATGATAGATAAGATTACAATCACCCGTTCTTTACTTCTAACTGTAAATGTAAGACTATGTGATTAAATGCCACCATAGTGACACAAGTTGTGTAATTTCAACGCCTTGCAAATGCCATTCACAATACCATGCAAATTCTGTAGAAGCTTCAATGTCAACAAAAGCACCACCACTACCACCAGCTCAGTAGTGGCAACAGTGTCCGTCGTATCCTTTGCAAGTGAAAACTAAATGATAATGATGACTACAGTCCGGCTGAAGACAGTATTAGGTACCAATTTACGTATATATGGTGCAGCGTTGGCCACCCCCCCTCCCCCCCCCCACCAATGGGTATGGGTGGACAGTATCGTCTGGTTCTTCTGGCCCCCCCCTGTGGCCTGTGGTGGTGGTATGGTTCTTCTGGTCCCCCCCCCGCCCTGTGGCCTGTGGTGGTGGTATGGTTCTTCTGGTCCCCCTCCCCCTGTGGCCTGTGGTGGTGGTATGTTGGGTATGTTGGTATGTTGGTATGTTGGTATGTATGTATGTATGTATGTATGTATGTATGTATGTATGTATGTATGTATGTATGTATGTATGTATGTATGTATGTATGTATGTATGTGTGTGTGTGTCTGTATATGTATGTATGTATGTATGTATGTATGTATGTATGTATGTATGTATGGAATGTAAGGTAAGGTAAGGTAAGGTAATGTAAGGTAAGGTAATGTAATGTAATGGTATGTATGTATGTATGTATGTATGGAATGTAAGGTAAGGTAATGTAAGGTAAGGTAAGGTAATGTAAGGTAAGGTAATGTAATGGTATGTATGTATGTATGTACGTAGGTATGTAGGTAGGTAGGTAGGTAGGTATGTAGGTATGTATGTATGTATATACACCACCACAGGGGCATCATACCCCCCCCCATCCCATGGGGGGGGTGGGAACACGGGACACGGGACCATATATATATAATGATTATTCTGATTATTATACTGATTGTAATGTAATGATTACAATGATTATAATCACTACAACGGCTACAATGATTGTAATGATTTCAATGATTATAATTATTATAACAATTACAACCACTATCATGACTATAATTGTTAATCTTAATTTCCTCTTCCCATATGTTTTTTTTAAATGTCAGATCTCCAGTTTTGCTGATGTTTGTGGTTTGGAGTCTTATTTTGGTTGCTCCACTTCCCATTGTGCCTAAATCCATTTTGTTTCCTCCGCGAACTGCACTAAATCCATCTAGATTCACAAATGATTCACATATATATATAATTTCCTTGTTTCTTGGCTAAACTTATATACTTTCAGCACTTCATCCACTAAATCCCTGGTTTCTTGGCTAAATTTCATAATTCAGCACTGTTTAGATCACCTTGAATTTTCATCCCAAGATTCTTTGCGCTTTCACTGGCAATCCCATTGCCAAAAACCGAGGCAGTCCAGCATTTCAGCCTGGGTGAATGTCATCTATGGTTGCGGGGCATCCCGGAGATTCCAGAGATATCCTGGCTCTGAGGTGATGAGAGTTGGTTGTTCCCCATGGGTAAATCCACTTAGGGAATCTATAGTGTGTGTATATATGTATAATAATTGTACATTGTTTTATATATATATGTACATTATAATATATATATATTATTATTTTATAATTATACAGTGTATAGTGTATATATATATATATATATATATGGGATTATATAAGGAAGATGGAATTTATTGTTTGGGGGTTCTGGGTTCCTACCCAAATTTCCATCCACTGGTTCATCAACATTTTCCCTGTGAAAGAACCATGTTTGGGGTATACCCTCTGGTAAACATACAAAAAGCTATTGAAAATAGCCATTTATGCTTGATTTCCCCATGAAAAGTGGTGATTTTCCATAGTTATGTTAGTTTACCAGAGGGTAACCCCCAAAAAAACCTACATACCCAAAAAGGATTGAGCTGGATTTTCAGACCAATTTATGGCTATTAAAGAATTGGGAAACTTCCAAACCGTTGGAATTCTTCGTAAATTATAGCGCGCTTAATGGCAGACACACCGTGATTGATAAATCTCTTGGCTCGTGAAATCACTCAGATGGGCCACGCTAGCGTTATTAATAGTGAATTGGCTAGGAATTAGGCTGTAACCCAACGATGGCATACCAGTAATTAAGAACAACTTAACCAACTCGGTGGCACTTTTTGAAGTACTCAAAATTTGGATGGATTGTATGTAGCCATAGTTATTTAGATTTGGAGCCTTTTTCTATCTCGCTGAAAGTGAAACTTTAAGCAGCGGATTTCCTGTTTATCATCTAGTTTTTATTCCAGTTATCCAGTTGTATTATGTTTCATGCATTTATTGATGGGTTAATCCCCAAGCCATATCATATTGTTTTTATATCACATGTATATATATATAGATCATACTTCCGACGACATGTTTGCCGCGTCTTCCAGCAGATTGTGTTCGTTCCAGTTAACAGAATGAGTCTATGGCCATAGGATCCATGTATGCTATTTGGTAACATATACCATCAATATACCCCCAATGTGGATCCTATGGGATGGCAAACCATCTGATTTGGTGAAGCAGTGCGACACGCCTCCGGGCGCAGTTGAATGAAGATCAATGAATCCCCAGCAGTCACCAGAAATCACCAAAAGTCCACCATTAAAATCCTTTTGAATCACCATAAGTATCATAAGTCACCATGAAATCCCCATAAATCACCATAAGTCATCACAAATCCTGTACCCTTTGGTAATTTAACATAGCTATTGAAAATGGACATGTTTAGTGGATTTTCCCATGAAAAATGGTGATTTTCACCTGAAGTCACCATTAAATCTCCACGTCTCCAGGCAACGAGCGCTGCAGCTACTGCGTGGTGCCCTTCACGCGCGGAAGCGAACAGTCACGGCCCATGAGCTCCATCCGGCGCGAGGCCGTGGCCGGAAAAACCTCGGGACATCCATTGGGAAGTTCACCGCTTTTTGACAAAAATCCTCTGGTGGGTGGTTTCAAACATGGCTATGGGTCAATACCTATGAAAATACAATTTTTAGTGGGATGAACATCCATTTAAAATCCATTTACCAGCTATTTTGATGTTCACCAGGGGTACTATGGGTTTTGACCCACTGCCACTCTGCGTTATTTTCTCCATGATCCCAACTGACGATTCGTCACGAAGGTCCGATGGATTTTGTCGGGTGGCGAAAAAGCACCAACCAGTTATGATGGTTAATGATGGTTAATGATGGTTAATGATGGTTAATGATGGTTAATGATGGTTAATGATGGTTAATGATGGTTAATGATGGTTAATGATGGGTAATGATGGTTAATGATGGTTAATGATGGTTAATGATGGTTAATGATGGTTAATGATGGTTAATGATGGTTAATGATGGTTAATGATGGTTAATGATGGTTAATGGTTAATAATCACTGGTTGGTGGTTTGGAACATGAATTTTCTTGTTCCATATATTTGGAATAATGATCCCAATTGACGAACTCATATTTTTCAGAGGGGTGGCTCAACCACCAACCAGTTTTTTTTATTTTCCACAATATTTGGGATGTCATCCTTCCCATTGACGAACTCATGTTTTTCAGAGGGGTAGGTATACCACCAACCAGTAGTCATTGAACCAGGAGACATAGTCATTCCATCATCAAGACTGGTGATGTTTTATGATCCAGAATGATGGTTTAACTGTTTAACTATCAAAAACGATGGTTTAGCCCAGAACATCTGGAACTAATATGAACATATACGGGTAAACCAATTGGGTATTGAAACTGAGGATGCGATCTGCAGTCAAAAACAGAACTGGGAAATACTGGAAACATGACATTAACATCATTAACCAGATTTAACCGTCAAGAATCAAGAGACATTGGGAATTCATTGGGATATCACTAGAAACAAAAGTGGATTTTAGCAAGTCAACAACATTGTTTTTCTGATTGCTACGGCATGAGGAAAGATGGGGATTCAGGATATGTAACCAACAAAAATGCTGGTATAATGGGGTTTATGATGGGGATATGTAACCAACATTCACCAGCAATATGAGGTGGGCACCCTCAGTTGTAAGTAGGTTTCGTTTCACGCCATTGACTGTAGATCTACCATGATCTACCATAAACCCTGTTTGACCAAGTTATAAACCAACTTCGCTATCGGTTGGGAGCCCGTCATACTGTTTTTTTTTTGATTGATGCCCGCACCTTTTGGTGGGAAATAAACCATGTGATGACCATGGATATCATGAAATATAGCCACATTGTTTGTTATATTCCCCACCTTATAGCAGGGTTCAAAAAAAAACAGTCGTTCCACTATAGTGGTTGGCTAAGAACGGATTCTATTATATAACGGATTCTATTTTGCAATGGATGAGGATGAGGATGAGGATGAGGATGAGGATGATGATGATGATGATGATGATGATGATGACCCCCAATACATTGGGTAATAAAACCTCATATATTCATCAATCAACAGGGGTTTGGAACAGTATGTGATGATGAACTGGCATATATCCCACAGCAAACCTCTATGAAATCCTATTAAGATCTCGTTAAGGTGATGGTTCGACGGTTATGTAGACAACATCTATCAACATCCCCAGTTTGGATGGTTGAAAACCCTATAAATCACTGGTTGGCGGTTTGGAACATGGCTTTTATGACTTTCCATTCACTTGGGAATGTCATCATCCCAACTGACGAACTCATCACCTGCAGGTGGAAACGTTGGGGGACGAGGGCTTTCGAGAAGTGACGCTCCTAGGCGGTACCGGACTGGACGCGGTAGTCGTGGACAAATCGTTGGGAGAAAAGGCAGCAAATTCTAGGATCTCTCACATCGAAAAATTGGGATTCAAAATGATTTAAGGGAAATGTCAGAAACATAGGAGCAAAGTGAGTTTGATCTTGCAAACACTGCGCATTCTCCATCATCCTCCACCGTCGCATGAGTTTTCTTCTACCCATAGGGTGTTTTTCCCTGTGCCGCTGCCATAAAGATAAACAAATGGCATATTCGGATGCAGCAATTCATTATAAGAAGTGTTGGTGTATCATGACCAGTGTTGGTGTAACATGATGGGATAAGCAATCAATGGGATATTCAAGTGAATTGAAGCAACACATATCACTTCAAGATACTTCAAGACCAGTGTTGGTGTATCATGACCTCACTGGCCGGCGCATTGAAGTTGCTGAATTGGGTCGGACAATTGGGGTTGAAGTTAAAACATGTGTTCTTTCTAAATTGGTTCTGGTGTCTCAGATAATGATGTTTTCAAAAGTGGTTCTGTTGAACAGCTTTTGGTTCTGTAATTGTTTCAGGGGTTTTGTACCAAAAGGCAAACGAAACAAAATGAGGTGTAACTCGGCTTGGTCTTCTTGGGATATTGGCAACTCAAAGCCTGGAGTCACTTTTGTATCGGGGTGTCAAACATACAGCAAACACCGGAGTATTTTCCGCGACCATCATGGGGACATTGTCAAGCTCCAGTTCCCCCTAATATTAAACACCCTGTAAATGGTCCCAAATATTACCCTCTGGTTATGACTAACATAGCTATTGAAAATGGTCATTTTTAATGGGAACACTCACTATAAATGGTCATTTTCCAATAGCTATGTTAGTTTACCAGAGGGGGTTCATCTTCTAATACGCAAGGTTTCGGGGGTGGAGGATATTGGATCCCCTTGCGAGGTCACATTCAAATGATGGTCATGTTTTTTCGTAGGTTTTTTACTATCCTATTTGATGCCCGAACTTTGCTGAACTATTTGATCATGTTCCGTTGATAAATATTGATAGCATATGATAACACAATGTGGCCAAAGGGCATAGCGGCATACCGCATAGCCCACCAGTTTTGTCCTTGCTAGTCATGTTTGATTCCCAAAGGGTAGACCGCCATAAACCATGCCCAAAATCACATGTGGGTGGTAAAAGCACTTCCCCAAAAGGTAGGGTTTATGATTGGGGATGGTTTATCATAATCATCCCAATGATTATCCCAGAGATGTCCTATAGTCATCCCACTATTGGTTTCCCACATTATCAAATCATTATCATACATTATAGTGGGACAATATCCTATCGTAACATTAAATGGATAAACTATATACAATTATGTATACCTATATATGTATATATATATATATATATCCATTAATATTGGTTTCCCATGATAGTCAGTCATACATGATTCATTTTACCCTCTGGTAAATTAACATAGACCCTGAAAATCACCAATTTTTAGAGGAAACTCATCTTCCAACCCCGATGACTACCAGGGTCTATGTTAATTTACTGGAGGGTAAAATCCATATTTGTTGCTTCATCGTCCCCAAGCTGCGCCCTTCGAGACTTCGCTAGGGCAAAACATCGATGCCTATGGCCGAGACTTCACACCCCGAAGGACTTGACCATGTTGAGAAAAGGAGGTTTCCTAAAAGCAATGGGAATTTCAGGATCCTAAAATGGAGGTACTGTACCATATAAGGCCATATTTTCTGGGGATATTCCCTTACATAGGCCTTATATAGACCTTATATATGGTAGGTACCTCCAATTTAGGTTCCTGAAATGGCCATTGATAAAGGGGCAGCCTATAACCCCAAATCATCCATGTTAATCCATAGGAATTTCATAGGATTTGAAGATTTAAACCATGAATGTTGATGAATTTTATTGGCTACCCCCCATGAGATACGGAAAACCCCACATCAGAAGTGTGAACCATTAACCCCGGTGACGAGTTCGGGGATTCTGCGAAAACCATGGGGATATACTGGGATAAAATGAGACACAAGCAACAAGATCATACCCAGTTTCGGTCGATGTGTTTGTTAATGTCGGGAAATCAGGTTCTAAGTTACGAGAATTAGAGGTTTCCCTATTTTCAGACGATCCCATCACAGGCGGCCCGGCAGGATGGGGATGATCATGGATCATCATCCGCGCAGGAGAGGCATTTGATCAAGGTACCGCTTGTGGATGGTCGACTTGCCATGGACTCACTGGACTCCTCTGTTCACCCCTGGGTGAACTCAACCGATTCCAACGTTTCTGAAGAGTGAGTGATATTAGGGCTCAAATTGTTTCTTTATTTCCAAAGAGTCGAAAATTGGATTGATTAGATTTATATCATTTTATATCCAAAAATCAAAACATGATGATCGCTACTTACTTGTGTGTGTGTCCAACATGGTATCACAAGACCGAAGACATATTACTTGTCTCATGGTTAAAACTAGTTGACCCAAACGCAGGCGCTAAGCATGACATAGAATGGCCACTTAGACTTGTGTGGGTTCATGATACTTCAATTTTGAATCATAGTCATATGAGTTGCAAAGTGAAAAATAAGGATAAATAAGGGTATATACAGTACCCCCTTCCATCCATTGGTTTTGCATAAATTTCTCCATGAGCATAGCATTTGTGTGGGTAGTTTCTAATATCTATCAATATATCCTCATGAACTCCGCAAGTTTGTCCCATGTTGTACCCTTTCTATTCAATCTATTGGTTTTATAGATCCATATTTATGTTATTGTATGTTATGTAATATATATATATATTGTAGATATTATATATATATATAGCTATATATGAATAAATAACACATGCATAATATTGTGATGTTTCATTACCCAGTAATATATATATATATAATAACAATATATATACATGTACATTCAATATCCTAACATGGCCTGAAAGATTTGGTCGCAGATCAGGACCTTCGCAGATCTTCTGCGTTCTTTGTCTGACTTGGACATCTCACGGATCCGTTTCCTCACGTCCACCCCAGGTGCCGAACGGGGATATGGAAGACGGCAGAAATCTGCGGGGCGTTGTGTGCATGTAGCTTTATGTAATAATCAAATGTACACATGTGCAAACCAAGAAAACATCATAAAATAAGCTATAATTATGTGACATGTATATATAGAATTATATAAATATACATGTATACACATGATATCCTATGTATATTGTTCATATATATATATATATATGATATGTATAAATATATTAATATATAATGTACTATAAACATCTATAACATTTCAAATTATATGCATATACATTATATACATCACTTTTTTCATTGGATCATCATACATGTCCTTTCTACTTATGTATATCAGTTTATTCACTAATTCTATGATGTTTGAGACAAGGGTTAAGACTATGCATATAATGCATATACATATAGTAAAGTTAGGTAGAGAAATATTGATGAGGTGCTCCAAATGGTCAATCTCCTCTTCAACACAAGACTTGTACAATTGTTTTGTCAAATTAATACTTAACAAAATACAGATGCAACTAACTAATATTGATAGCCCCAGAGCAGGATTGATGAACCATCATAAACCCCTGTTCATTAATTAGGGCGTTACCAAAGTAAGTGATAAGCTGCCGATGGAAACACCCCTAACCGGCCCTAACCAAACATTGCAATATAATTCCAGACTACTCAAGCATCCGAAATTCTTTGTTTGGTCCCCCCGCCAAACATGAATGTTTCGTCAGGGTTTCAAGTTTCAATCTAAAGGATATGGACAATCCCATGTTTTTTTGTATTTGTTATAATGTCAACCATCGAACCATTGAATGTCCATGTCTATGTTAGATAATTTCAGGCTATCTTACATAGTCATGATAATGTTATATATATATATACATACGTAGCATACATATGTATATATATATATACATATAATTATATACATATATATATGACATGACATATGATATATATATATACATGTATACTGTATATTATATATACATGTAACCCTGTCGGGTAGTTCGCAGAAAGTTCCCAACAAAAAATCCCGGCACCAGGTACATCTCTGATGACTTGATCCGAGCCGTGCGAGCCACGTGGCGATTTGATCGATCTAGCTGCCTGGGTTGGCTGATGATTGTGTTGGGTTATAGTATATCAATAATGATTATAGTATATCAATGGTATGGTATCGTGTAACTATAGTATACTATAGTAACAAATGATTATCCATGATTATAGTAAGCCATTATTATAATGATGATCCATGATTATAGTAATTATAATGATATCAATAACCCATGATACTAGTATATAAACGTAATCCATGATTATAATGAGTAACTCCCATTCGTATGATTCGTTGACTATAACACAAACGGATTATTGTTGGATGCTTAACGTATTGAATGATAGAATCCATGAACTATCGATGGCTGAATTGGTTGAATATGGGTTGACAATCATTACAATTGGTTGATCTAATCCCAAAGCAACTAACAATGATTATCAACTGATCATTATTACAATGTATTGGGGATTATCATAATCCATGAACTGGGAAATGTGCTCTTGGCCCTCGGCCAGCCAGTATAAAGGAACGACATAGGGTTTTGAACGCGGCTTGCATGGTCAAACTGCTTTAAGATAGTGGAGCTAAGGTGCAGGGTAAAATTAAGTTCGATTTCCACTGTTGCAAGGTTTGGAGTTTTGGTTCTGGATCACCCACCCTGAAATTTCATATCTTCGACTAAAGAACGTATATTTGTTCATCTATGTAATCTGGTGACATTGGTATCGGCAATCCCACCACGATCTACTTGTTGCATCTAAAGTTTTCCAGTGCACCATATTACCTCACCCAGTGTCCCAGTATGACACGTAAATATGACATATCACTATTACATATCAATACTACATATGAATGTGACCCTATCAAGTATTTCCAGTGCATTACAGGCAATAAACACGTTTGAAGTGGCCCCAGCATAGCCCAGCACCTTAAGGTTTGTTTACATCATTCTTCAAGAGAGGTTGCGGGATTTTCAAGATCGCCTAGAACATGCTTGTTAATAAACCATCCCATCAACCAACCATTTTGGGGAAAGTGGTATACTGAACAATAAACCAAAATTGGGGGTTTCCTAAAACGGAGGTACCCCAAAAATGGATTGTTTTTTCAATGGAACATCCTATAAACGTGGATGATTTAGGGGTACCCCCACTTTAGGAAACCTCCAATTCGGAATGTTTTATTTCCCTCACTGCTATCCGGTGGTTAGGAGGGAGCTACTGTAAGGAGCTATGGGTATATGATGGCATCCACGTTCTCTACCGAAGGGGGATGCAAGGAGCTACTAAGAAATTCCCAACCACACCTTATATATATATACAATATTATACAATTATATACATATATACATATATATATATATGTATGGCTTGTGATTTCCTACAAGCATGATGGGCACGTGCAAGGAATCGGACGATTTTATGGTGTTTCCGGATGTTTTCGATGACATGAATTCCTCTCAAGTTTCTCCGCCCCAATTTGATGCTTGATCCTGAGAAAATTGATGGGAATTATCTCAGTAAATTGATGGTAAATTGATGCAAATCCTCACAGATACTGAGATAATTCCCAACATTTGGTAAACCTCTACTTGCCTGTGAAATAATACGTTCTTGTCTTGACGCGATAGGCTCTTTTTTCGATCCCCATGTTGGCATTGCTTGAAACTCATGGTGGTTCTTGATTCCACCATCGTTGCAGGACGTTCCCTCGGTGTGTGAGCAGTTCCACATCCCCTTCCAGTGCCCTGGAAGATGTTAAATCCCATCTGTCAAGGTGTAAATTTTCCCCCAAAAAAAAGGATAAACCCTGTGCCCTGGCGAGCAAGAGCTACTGGCAGCTACTGATTCTTGGGAGCGACAACAAACAACTGGTTTAAGTTGAAGGGGATATATGAGGATATATAATGATACATATATATATATACATATGTATATATATATACATACTTATATATATATATGTTTTGTATTCTATCCAGATGAATGGGTCTATTTGAATGTCTGAAAATGGGTTTGGCCTCATTCCCAAGTGCCTCAAACATGTTAGAACCGGATCTGTTTTCCAATGAACAAAATGGGTACCCCATGCATCTTCTAGGTGGGGACCGTAGCGTTTGCCCAGTCGAAACTCAAAACTCTAAAGATACCATTTCCCAAAGATTCAGAACCAACTAAACAGAATAGATTCCAAGAGATCCTCATTCATTTCTCAAAGTCCCATTTTTATCCATTTTTCAGGGTTGGATTCCTCATTTAGTCTATAAATCACCAGTTTTTTGTCATGCCATGGGGGTTCAACCTCCCCCAACCCGCTTCGCTTCGCTTCGCTTCGCTCAGGTCTGGTGATGACGAAATCTTGCGACAGATGGACCGTGGCTACACCGCGGAACGCTACAGGCCCCCATGGGATGCCTCTGTGGAAAATATCATGATACCCTCTGGTTATGACATACCAAAAAGCTATTGAAAATGGTCATTTATAGTGGATTTACCTATTAAAATATCATGATACCCTCTGGTTATGACATACCAAAAACTATTGAAAATGGTCATTTATAGTGGATTTACCCATTAAAATATCATGATACCCTCTGGTTACAAAAAGCTATTGAAAATGGTCATTCATAGTGGATTTACCCATTAAAATATCATGATACCCTCTGGTTATGACTAACATAGCTATTGAAAATGGTCATTTATAGTGGATTTACCATTAAAATATCATGATACCCTCTGGTTACAAAAAGCTATTGAAAATGGTCATTTATAGTGGATTTACCCATTAAAATATCATGATATCCTCTGGTTATGACTAACATAGCTATTGAACATGGTCATTTATAGTGGATTTACCATTAAAATATCATGATACCCTCTGGTTATGACACACAAAAAGCTATTGAAAATGGTCATTTATAGTGGATTTACCCATCAAAATATCATGATACCCTCTGGGTATGACTAACATAGCTATTGAAAATGGTCATTTATAGTGGATTTACCCATTAAAATATCATGTGATACCCTCTGGTTATGACATACAAAAAGCTATTGAACATGGTCATTTATAGTGGATTTACCCATTAAAATATCATGATACCCTCTGGTTACAAAAAGCTATTGAAAATGGTCATTTATAGTGGATTTACCCATTAAAATATCATTATACCCTCTGGTTATGACTAACATAGCTATTGAAAATGGCCATTTATAGTGGATTTACCCATTAAAATATCATGATACCCTCTGGTTATGACATACCAAAAAGCTATTGAAAATTGTCATTTATAGTGGATTTACCCATTAAAATATCATGATACCCTCTGGTTATGACTAACATAGCTATTGAAAATGGTCATTTATAGTGGATTTACCCATTAAAATATCATCATACCCTCTGGTTATGACATACACAAAGCTATTGAAAATGGTCATTTTAGTGGATTTGCCCATTAAAATATCATGATACCCTCTGGTTATGACTAACATAGCTATTGAAAATGGTCATTTATAGTGGATTTACCCATTAAAATATCATGATACCCTCTGGTTATGACATACAAAAAGCTATTGAAAATGGTCATTTATAGTGGATTTACCCATCAAAATATCATGATACCCTCTGGTTATGACTAACATAGCTATTGAAAATGGTCATTTATAGTGGGTTTACCCATTAACATATCATGATACCCTCTGGTTATGACTAACATAGCCATGGAGCGGAAGCCATGGCTTATTTAGTTCGATGATTTTCCCAGCGATAAACAACCTCCATTTGAATGGTTGGGATTTTCCAGCCAGCTATGTTAGTCATAACCAGATGGTACCATTTATGTCAACTTTCAGACTTTCATGGGATGCAATGAGCAGTGTTCAAAACCCCTGTTTGTTGATGACTAGTTGGGGGATTATACTACCCAATATATTAGGGACTACAAGAATCCAATAGGGGAATCCCTATAAACCAACCAGTGTAATGGAATGATACAGGGATTTTGAACACTGCTCAAATGATCATTCACAAAGTAGATCTAGATAGGGCTAGCCTTATTTTCAGATTAACCCACACGCGTCACTGGATAAGTTCTAACAGCTTCAGAAAGACCAAACTGCAGATGACGTTTAGTAGAGGCAACTACCTTCTAAGCATGGGCTTATTTTCAGGTAAATTGGGTTGATGTTCCGGTACTAACTCAAGATGGCAATGGGAATTCCAATGCGTCAATGTGGGATAGACATGGGGAATTCATGTGGGATACTCTGTTGCCATGTCTAACAGCCTCCTATCTCATGCTAGAAGTTTGAATGCTGTACACATATCTGTACATCATTGCAGTATACAGCTTACAAAGCCCCCATCAAGAAGCCAGCCACTCTTCTAAACTCCTGGTAGTAACTATTGAATTGATAGTAATGACGATGATCATGATAATTATACTATGATTACTGTAGTATTACCATGGAATTTCCTCATTTTTTGTATATACCGAGCAGTGGTCATTGCGGTGTGCTCCACCTGGTGGCGGTACCCTTTGCACCGGCACCCGAAACCAGAGATTTAAGGAATCTCCCCAGTTATGACTGGAAGATGACTGGTTTTGTTTGAACATAGGCTAAATGAATCATAGACAAAAAGCAAAAAAATCCAATGATTTTTGGTGTCTCATCACTTCGTCCATATTTTTTCCCAATGAAACATCAGTTTTCCCGTATTCTTCCGTACTTTTCGCATGAAATTCCCATTTAGTCTCATAACAATTCCATTACATGCCATATTCAAACCCCATAAAATCATATAAAATCCCATTTGTTCCATATTTTTTCCATGAACACCTCCGTTTTTTGAGACCTTTGAACTTGGACCCACCAGGCGCATCGTGGACAACATCCGTCGCGCGATGCCGAATGCAGGGCTCTCGGCCGATGCCATTGTGGGCTTTCCGGGGGAGACAGAGGCGCGGAGCACGCGGAGCTCGGATGATGTTCCATTGTAAACCATCCAGCGATAAAGGGTTACCCCCATTTATGGAAACCTCCCTATTTATATATAATTAATTAATATATTATATATATATGTACTATTTTAATGCAATTTACCCCCAGCTATATGTTGATGAAAATATTGGCTAATACCATTTATATAATACCTGGTAAACGTGTTTAAAATGTCAAAGTTAATATGTAACAATATATATATATATTATAAATAATGATCATTAATAACTGTTAATGGCCATTAGTAGTGGTTAACACCCATTAATAGTTGTTAATATGTTTTTTAAACAAAAAACTATTATTATCCATTAGTAATGGTCATAAATGGATTTAATATGGTACTACAGTGAAGATGTGGGATGTTTTTTTTGGGATACTCGGATGGGATCTATTTTTGGGGTAAGTCTTGGGAAACCATGGTGATATTTTAATGGGGATATGGGGCTATCATTACCCTCTGGTAAACTAACAAAAAACTATGGAAAATCATAGGAAAATTGTGTTTTTTTGGGACAATCATAGGAAAACCATAGGAAAATGGTGGTTTTACCATCTGGTAAACTAACATAACTATGAAAATCACAATTTTTCATGGGACAATTCACTATTTCTATGGCCATTTTCAATAGCAAACTGTTAGTTTACCAGAGGGTCAATCCGATGAAGCCCAATACCAAATGGAGCTGTCCCAAGTCAAGGGGGTACCACCAAATGATCCAAATTAGAGCATTCTAGTATTGAAACCCATGGTTTTGGGGGATCGTCCACTTTACGAACTCCCCATATGATAAATGACAGTTGGATCATTCACCATGCTGGTAGTAGTCAGTCAGCCATAGTAATGAGATGTAATGAGCATGGTTTAATGATCTAGTAATGTCGCGATCCATGATTATTGTAATGTGGACATCTGATTTGATAGTGAAAGACATGAACATGACTGAATGAACTTCATCATGACCTGACATCGTGACATCACTGGACTGATGGAAACGGGACGGTTGGGAGCGGGGTTTTAGTGTCACGGTTGGGGTCTTATTTCAGCTATTTGGGGGAGACTGGCCGTCCGGTCCTTCATCTTCGCCCTTGGTCTTTGTCAGCGCCAGAAGGAACTGAGCAACTCTACCTCAGCTCGTCTTCAAGACGTTGGTCGCGCGGAGTATTGGAATTGCGCAGGGAGTTGTCTTGGAAAACCGGAAAGATTCTGCCTTGAACGCGGCCTTCCCATTGTCGAATTCCAGGAAGAGTTGGTATCTTTCTTGTCGTGCTCTGTCAGCCGATGCACAGCCAGTGAACCAGATTGCCTCAAAACTAGTGAATAGCTAGAAACAAGTTATATAGTGAAAATCATAGTGGATATAATAGCTCATAACCTAATAAAAGTGGAAGTAATAGTCATGACAGTGGTTCTGAATGTTTATATATGTCTATGATATGTTGTAATTCCTAGTGGATATAATATGGCATATGGATACTATATATACTTTGTATAATAGAACATAGTAGCTAAATGTTATTGTTAATTGTAGCCAAAAAAACAAATGGAATAAAGTATAAATGTTGATAGTTGATAGTAAGAATTGTGATAAGTATTCATTTTTGATAGTTTACCACTGGTGGTTTAATAGTATAATAGTAATGGTTTATGATGGTCATAAGTGTTTTGTAATCATGATATATATATATATTATACATGCTCATGGTTGAAAAATAAGGGTTATTCAATTGTATATCATGAGGTGATCCCTGTTGATTAAACCCCGCCCCAAAAACTGGTCTCTGCTTAAAAATCCCAGAATCCTAGAATTTTCCCAAAAATCCCTTGAATCCTAGAATTTTCCCAAAAATCCCAGAGTCCTAGAATTTTCCCACACAAAAAAATACATATATAATCATATATATATACCACGATATATACCATTAGCTAATGGTATCATATCCCAGTGCTTGGAGTGCACCAAAAAAACACCATGAAACATGGGGTAGTTGATCCCATCATCCGCATGGTCCGAGGAGCAATTCCAACGCACCCTTCAGCTGGTGGAGGACCAGACATGTAGGATCCGCCCCGGAAGAAAAGGATAGAAAATTAACTATAGAATATGGTTAATATGGTTAATAGTTAGTTATTATGGTTAATATATGTTAATATATGTTGATATAACTAATATTAACCCCAACAACAAGAAATGGATCCAGTCACACTTCCAACAAGGTACGGCTGGATCCATAGGGATAGAATCACAGATGCTCCATGGTGATCATGGTGCTGGAATGTGGGCCAAAACATCAAAAAATAAAAAACATGGTTCGCATCTGGGTATAGAATATACAACAGATAGGAATAACATATGATGCATTATCATGACAACTACTTTGATGATATGTTTTGATGTTTTCCATCTTTGTTGTTTGCCAAATATCACTGAAGTCCCGCAACTCTTCCAGAGTTGATCCCAATTCTGGTGGGACATGGTTTCCATGCAGTTTCCATTGAGTCAACGGATTGTTTAGGTACCCCAAATGCAAGTACTGTGCCCTGTAAAAGGAGAATACTATTTGGAATTATTTGGAGATATTCCATTGCATGTGTTAGGTATGTGTAATTGAGGTAGAGTACCAGCAATTCTCGATTTGGCCATTTAGGTCATTATGAAGCATATGATTAAAACATATTAAAACAAGTGTGGTAAATACATTGTGTTTATGGCTGGGTGTGTGTGTGTGTCTGAAAATGGGGACATGATGATTACCCAGTGGATAAAGGCTGCCCTATTTTCAGCTGAACTCAAAATCGGAGATATAAGCAACCGGATTTGGGCACCAACAAATGCAACATTTATGAAGGATTTGACTCAACGTGGTGTGTCCCAAACCGCGGGTACCCCTGATACCAAAACAGGAGGCTTGGAGGTGCATATATATACATATATATATAGAAAATGGGATAAACATATAAGTAATGCTTCTTAGTTACTTAGTTTTCTAATCAGGGGAAATGTGTTTTTTTCCAGTTTTTCTGCTAAATGGATTCCTAGAAGCTTGAAAATTCATCCATAAGCCATGTGCCACTGCCAAGTACGCGTGGGTGAACGGGAGAATATCGGGTTGGAGATGCAAAAGGAACTTGAACATGCATACATATATATATATATATCTGGCCTAAGGTTAAGGAAGTCAAAAAGTGACAAGATGTGTTTTGGGAATATTTGCTGGGTTCCATCCACAACCGCCATTGACTCAATATGATTCCAATAATTGATGTTCATTATTGTTATTACCCGAGTTCAACTGTTCAATGTTTGAATAATAACACCCCGGTTCAATGTTGAACTATTAGTACTAAGACCACTAATGGAAGAAACTTTCACTTCAGGCACTTAACGAACTTATAAGTATCTGATAAGTTGCTAGTATTTTGCTAATATCTTGTTTAAATTGTTTTTTTAAATTAATTTTGAGTTAAGTTTCACTAATTTTTTATTTGAGTTTATTACATAATAATGAAGATATAATCAAATATATTCGAATATTAGTGAAAAATATTTGAAAATATATTTGAAAATATCTGAAAATACCTGAAAATATCTGAAAATAGCTGGAAATCATTTCTTTTGTTTTGTTTTCATTTCGAAGTTGCTGCCCAGGAATAGTTGGAGAAATAGATACCTGAAAACTATGGTTCCTGTAAAGGAAAGTTCCAGTAAAGGAGATACCATCCTTTTCAGGAACTCTCTTTTGCTGGAACTTTCCTTTACAGGAACCATCCTTTACAGGAACCATCCTTTTCAGGAACTCTCCTTTCCTGGAACTTTCCTTTACAGGAATCATGGTTTTCAGGCACTCTCCTTTGCTGGAACTTTCCTTTACAGGAACCATAGTTTTCAGGAACCCTCCTTTGCTGGAATTTTCCTTTACAGGAACCATCCTTTTCAGGAACTCTCCTTTGTTGGAACTTTCCTTTACAGGAGCCATCCTTTTCAGGAACTCTCCTTTGCTGGAACTTTCCTTTACAGGAGCCATCCTTTTCAGGAATGCTGCAAAGGAAAGTTCCAGTAAAGGAAAGGTCCCAAAACGGAGCCTACTTTAAGCTAATTTATCTTGAATCAAGGAGAGTTTTCTGAAAATTCAGGTTCTTGAAAAGGAAAACTCAAACTTGAGAAAATTCAGACACGTCAAAATCCATAAAAATCAGAAAAAACTTAAATACTAAAAAGAAGAAAATTCAGAATCAAAAAAAAAACATAAACTCAAAAAAAAAAAGAGTCCAGAAATTTTAGAAAATTCAGAATCCAGAAATTTCAGGGAATCAAAAAAAATCCAGAAACTTTATAGAAGCAAAAAACATCCATAAAATTCAGAAAATCAAAAAAGCATAGAATCCAGAAAATTCAGAAAATGGAAAAAAATGAATCCAGAAACTTTAGAAAATTCAAAATCCAGAAAAAAATAGAAAACCAAAAAAAATAGAATCTGGAAAAAAAGAAAATCCAGAATCCAGAAAATTCAGGAAATCTTAAAAAAATAGATTCCAAAAAATGTAGAAACCAAAAAAAAATGGAATCTAGAAAATTTTTAGAAAATTCAGAATCCATAAAATTCAGAAATCTAAAAAAAAATAGAGTCTAGAAAATTTATAAAAGCAAAAAAACTAGAATCCAGAAAAATCAGAAAATAAAAAAAAGGATCCAGAAAATTTAGAAACAAAAAAACATGGAATCTAGAAAATTAGAAAAATCAGAATCCAGAAAATTCAGAAAATTCAGAAAATTCAGAAAATTCACAATTCTATATATATATATTGTACATAGCCTCGACACACTAACAGTGACCACAATTTACCCCACGAGAAAAAGCACAACAAAATGTTGTCAAACTTGAGGATTTGAAGATTGGGGGTTAAATTTCTTGAGGAATATCTGATCAACAGTTACATATCATTCCCTCCCACTCCGGAACACTTCAAGCCTCATTGGTTTTCAGTCCATTTCCTTTTCGAAGCTGATCGGTCCCCTACACCTGGGATTCCCAAGCCTGATTTCCAAGGCCAACATTACAAACTCACATGTTTATTTTTTGTACCAAAAAACAGCAACTTTGGTTTTCAGTTTGAATCATTTGAGGTGGCCACCAACCAAGGCTGGGGCCTAGCTTTCCCTTTTAAAACAAAAGACTTTTCCTTTTTTCTGAGTTTTTGCTTTTTTTGCATTTTTTTGGCTCCGGAGTTGTGCTTTTTGTTGTGCTATTTCTTGTGCTCTAGTTTGTGGTTTTTTTTTGGAGCTGGTTGTGCTATTTTTTGTGCTATTTCTTGTGCTATTTCTTGTGCTCTAGTTTGTGTTTTTTTTTTTGAGCTGGTTGTGCTATTTTTTGTGCTATTTCTTGTGCTCTAGATTGTGTTTTTTTTTTGGAGCTGGTTGTGCTATTTTTTGTGCTATTTCTTGTGCTATTTCTTGTGCTCTAGTTTGTGGTTTTTTTTTGGAGCTGGTTGTGCTATTTTTTGTGCTATTTCTTGTGCTATTTCTTGTGCTCTAGTTTGTGTTTTTTTTTTGGAGCTGGTTGTGCTATTTTTTGTGCTATTTCTTGTGCTCTAGTTTGTGGTTTTTTTTGGAGCTGGTTGTGCTATTTTTTGTGCTATTTCTTGTGCTATTTCTTGTGCTCTAGTTTGTGGTTTTTTTTTGGAGCTGGTTGTGCTATTTTTTGTGCTTTGTAGTTGTGCTTTTTGTTGTGGTCCATCAATTTAAACTATAAAGGCCGTTTGTTTTTTTTTCCTGGATGCTGTTTCAGGTTGGAGTTGTGCTCTTGTTGTGCTATTTCTTGTGCTCTAGTTTGTGGTTTTTTTTTGGAGCTGGTTGTGCTATTTTTTGTGCTATTTCTTGTGCTCTAGTTTGTGTTTTTTTTTTGGAGCTGGTTGTGCTATTTTTTGTGCTATTTCTTGTGCTATTTCTTGTGCTCTAGTTTGTGGTTTTTTTTGGAGCTGGTTGTGCTATTTCTTGTGCTATTTCTTGTGCTCTAGTTTGTGGTTTTTTTTTTGGAGCTTGGTTGTGCTATTTTTTTGCTATTTCTTGTGCCTTGTGCTCATTTTTTAGGTGCTTTTTTCTTGTGCTATTTTTTGTGCTCTAGTTTGTGGTTTTTTTTGGAGCTGGTTGTGCTATTTCTTGTGCTATTTCTTGTGCTCTAGTTTGTGGTTTTTTTTTGGAGCTGGTTGTGCTATTTTTTGTGCTATTTCTTGTGCTATTTCTTGTGCTCTAGTTTGTGTTTTTTTTTTGTAGCTGGTTGTGCTATTTTTTGTGCTATTTCTTGTGCTCTAGTTTGTGGTTTTTTTTTGGAGCTGGTTGTGCTATTTTTTGTGCTTTGTAGTTGTGCTTTTTGTTGTGCTACCCCCAAGAAAAAGCACGAGAAAAAGCACGAGAAAAAGCACAACTAGCTGTCCGCTTTTTTTTGAGAAATTTCGGGAAAAGTATTTTTCAATCCAAATCCAGCTGGGCTGTGAATGAGGAACGAAATATCTGCATTTTTTCCGCTTTGCGCTGCGGCTGCACAAAGCTTGAAAAATTGTCCTCTGGCGCAGATAAGCAGAAGCTGTGCTTTTCCTACTCCATACGCAAATTCGTTGCAGGTAAGCAAAAGTTAAATTTTTTGAAATCTTCAGCTGTATGTATGATATCTTTGAAATCCTCAGCCAACCAAAATTTCCAGCTCCACAATTCAGGAGGCAAAAAATCTTGGAAAGAAAAAGGAAATGTAAATTGGGAAGGGGTCTGGGGATGGCAGGTACAGTGCAAAGTTGTTGTGCTACTTTTAGCCTTCTAGTTATGTAGCCTGGGTTGTTTTATGCTGTTAGTGGGGGGGGGCTTAGTCCAATATATATATACATATTTAAATATATATTTATATAATTCAGAAAATTCAGAATTCAGATAAAATCAGAAAAAAAAAACATAGAATTCAGAAAATTTAGAAGATAGAAAAAAAAAATAACTAGAAAATTTAGAAAACCTGAAAAAATAAACCCAGAAAATTTAGAAAACCCAAAAAAGTTGGAATCC